AAGATTTTTTTCAACAAAGATGTTTATAGATTATTATATTTTTGTTATATATTGTTTTTGAAATAACACATAATAATATATAAAACTATTACAATTAAGATTGTCCAACAACGGTTGTACTCTAATAATTGTTTAAATTAATTCACATAAGTAATGGCAAATTAATGAAAAATGAACCTGATCTAATCTATCGTTACTAGACCAAATTGAATTTTGTCAAAATATGAATTGCTTACAAGTTTCAACATCTAAGTTTATTTATTTATTTATTTATATTTCACAATTTGAAAAAATTATCTGAGATTTTGTCCCCCACCACATGTCATTCACTAAGTAGCATCTTGCATGATTACCTAACACGTACAACACAGAAAAATGTGAAAAAAAATCCAGGCTAGTGATGAATATATAATAATATGTGTGTGTGTGTGTGTGTGTGTGTGTGTGTGTGTGTGTGTGTGTGTGTGTGTGTGTGTGTGACAAAAGTGAAGCCATTTGTAATGATGTTGTAAGTTAATAAGTTTGATAACCAATTAAGTGCAGTTAGGTCATGCAAATACAGTGGAAGCATAGAAAAGTTTGGAGTAGCTAAGCCATGTAATATCCATGAAATGTCTGTCCTTTAGGCACTGGGTTCAGACTATGATACAAATAAAGTATTATACTAGTAAAAAAACAACAATCGTATTCGAGCTCTTAGGTCTTCCGACCTCCAAATTAACTACCTGAACTGGATCTACCTGTACCCTGAGCTACTTAAACGAGCTCCCTGATAGATATATGTACCGAAGATGGGTTGGGCCCCTTTGAACTGGCCACGACCGAGCTAACCACTCGAGTCGATTCACCGAGCTATTCTGAGTACTATATCACTAATATACAAAATCTTCTATCATAACCTAATCCCTTCTAAGTTATTAACTACTAAATCTTATTAATACTTATCGTTCATAATATCACAACAAACTCTAAAGGCATATCCTTAATTTAGCATGCATATGATAACAATGTACTATAAAAATTGGATAAGGCATTCGTATTCTAACTCTCCAATTCTTGTTTAGACGATCATTCGAGAAGCTCTGCAATTAGACGTAGGTTAGTGACTTACACTTAAGCTGATTAGGTGGTCCAAGCGTTGTCTCGACGTCTGTATATATTTTTTTTTCAATTATTGTAAAAATAAGTTTTTATGTTTGTACATAAAATATACAGTAATTATAAAATAATAATAAATTAATAATAATAAATTAATAATAATAATAATAATAATAATAATAATAATAATAATAATAATAATAATAATAATAATAAAATTAATATTATATATCTTTAAAATCTTTGCAACCATATTCATTAACTGGCCCCTAACGGATGTCCAGGTAATTAATATGGTATAAAGTACTACGAAAATCTTTCGTAGTTGTATGCTAAGATTTTTTTTTTTTTTTTTTTCGTTAAATAAATTTGTATTGATCAAAATTGAAAGCATACAATCGAGACAGCTTTAAGAGCATAGTGAGTAATCACAAGTCGATTCCTCACTTGCAAGAACAAAAATAACGAGGATAATGTTATCTTCCAACTAAGATCTTCTAAAAGTGCTCAAGCACTTGGCATCAACTATCCCCAAAAATTATCAAAATTTTATACTTTAACGCCTAGGCTTCTTCTCTCAAAATGTTATACTAAGATTTTAGTATAACGTATTCTTTAGTAGTTGTATATTATACCAAAATCTTATTATGAAAATTTATTATCTTATTATGAAAATCATGATTTTGAACCGTACATAATAACATTATTATTGAGCCAAGTACATGGATTTTTAGACCTTTTTCTTTAATTTCATATATTTGAAAACCCAATTTTCTTAACAAAAAAGGCTTATTTTTATTGGGTATAAACTTGCAATAAATTTGCCCTCATCCCAAAATCGAACTAAAATGTGAACTTCTTTCGGTGCCACCCCATACTAATTTTCTGACATAGAAAATTTTCCAAACAGGCCTTCAAAGCTCGGATAAGAGCTCCAAATTTCCTATGTAATTTTCTTTTGATTTGTTTGTTAATTTTAAGTGCCCTTTAGAATTTTCCTTCTATTACGGTTACCTTACTTTTCTGCTATGATGACGAAGTCGAGAAAGGATAGGTAATAGAAGGGTGTATTATTTTTTAATTAGATCACGCGACTTTGAAATTAGATGGTGTTTTTTCTAGCAACCCATGCGAAAAAACGTTTTGGGCGAGTTATTAACAGTTCCTACAGAATCTATCACTAAAATCTACGACCCGTAGCTCTAGCTCTAGTCTTCGACTTGGTTCTTTTCGATCGTCTCTGATTTTTGGAATAAATATTGTTACAGAATATGTGTTTTGATTACAACAGGAAACCTATGAACTAAAGATGATGTTTTCAGTTCGTACAATTTGAACTATAAACAAGAAAGACAAAATTACAACTGAAAGCAGAAAGACAAAAAAAGAAATCGATAACCAAGCCGAGGTGATTGCTTTATTCCGCAAGACGAAAATACCCCGTATAGTGCTAATGGATTCAGGCGTCTCGTCCCTAAAGATACAACGACTGACGTCTCGGAGGCTGTAGCACACCAGCTTTCGGGCTCCGATGAACTTTAATGTAATCGATAACTGAGCACTTGAATGTTATAATTCATGAGACTTTTGAGAGTATGCAAATGATTGTATGATCATGTGTGTTCTTTCCTCTACAACTCTATGTCCTATTTATAGGACTTCCATCACGAGTGGAAGAATTTTGGTGTTCATCTTGTAACATCTCAGCCATTATAGGCCACATTCAATCTATCTTATAAATGGCAACATTAAGGTGATTAATTATCCTTAATCAGCCTAATAAATAGACAACATTATGGTGTTTAACTCGTCATTAATCCACCTTATAACTCCTGATACCGTCAGGTGGTGGACAATTGAAAGATCACACGTTCAGGTTCAATGTATCTAGAAGGTGTCGCAGGTTGGGTCAAAATCCGAGTTCAAAACCAACTCAATTTGGATTTTAATTTTGGAGCGTGTGGCCGAACCCAACACCAACACTTGGTGCATATATTTGTTGTTGTTGTTGTGAAATCTCAAACTCTCGTTATTATAATAAAGATAGTTAATTTCATTTAAGAGTCCTATATGAGAGAATCTTTGACCCTTTGAATCCCACCACCAATATTTTGCGAGCCCATTTATGCTAACTCTAATCATTTATTTCTCACTCAACGAAAATCAGTTTTAGAAAAATAAGGGCGTGATTGTATATGAATTGTACAGTAATATCCCACTCAAAACTCAAATTTAACTCAACTTCACTATCTCCAATATTATCAATATAATTAAATAATATCAACCAATCATGATTACACATCACATTAACTTTAATTCACTATTCATCCACTCACATAATTTTAACTAATCATCACTTCCAATCATTTTTTCATACTTTTACATCAAATCAACTTTAATTAATTTTACATTCCTCTGTTGGGGGTTTGTGTTTGTGCTGTTTAGGATGTGTTCTTGGTTTGGGCCGTTGGCCCCAGTATCATTACCCTTTTGGGGTCGGTTCTTTTCTCCCTTTGGGAGCTTAGCTAGTAGTTTGTCTGTGTAGTTGGTTCTTGTGTTGGTGTTTTAGTCGTTTTCATTCTAGCCTTGCTAGCGATTTTAGGCGGACCTCGATCTAGCCTCCCAATTTGTATTTTCGCACATTTGTGCGCTTATCTATAGTACTTCTATCGTTTCGAAAAAAAAAAACTTTAATTATTTTAATTTAAATATTATTTTAATATATCCACTAACAACAAATCATACTACTTTTTTTCAAACTTAACTATAGTTAAAAATAATAGTTTTTTACTAGTTGAACTCATATCCAATCACCCCCTAAATATACCACGAATATCTACTCAGAACGTAGAATTTTTTTACACAATTTTATTCAATCTGAATTAAATATTTAGCCATACAAAATTCAGTCAAAACTGGATCAAACTCAAGTTGTATAACTGATTTTTCCAGCAAATACACCCTCCTCTTACCTCTCCTTCCCCGACTTCGTAAACATAGCAAAAAATCTCCATTTAAACCTTCTTAGAAGGAGCATAGTTCAAAAAGTATGGTAACTTTAAAAGAAGGAAAAGGCAATTTTAAAAGGCACTTAAACTTATCAAGGAAATCACAAGAAAATCACAAAGTGAATTTGGAGCTCTTATCCAAGCTTTGAAGGCCTGTTTGGCAAATTTTCTATGTCAGAAAATTAGTATGGGGTGGAACTGAAAGAAGTTCACATTTTAGTTCGATTTTGTGATGAGGGCAAATTTATTCCATGCTTATACCAAGTAAAAATAAGCATTTATTTGAGAAAATTGGGTGTCCAAATATATGTAATCATCAAAGAAAAATGTCCGAAAATCCATATACTTGGCACAATAATAATGTCATTATGTATTGTTTAAAATATAAATATTATTTAATAATATTTTCATAATAAGATTTTCAGAATATGATTTTCATAATAGCATTCCCATAATAAGAGTCTGGGTTGTGTCTCAGTCCCAGCGCCGACTTTTTTTTTTTTATATATATAAAAAAAAATCACTAAACTTATTGAATTAACTTTTCATTGATGTATTCTTTCATATTGTACTCTCGCAACTTTATGTAAGACGGAGTTTGATTTTTTTGGGGAGATAGTGGAAAAGTTATTTAAAAA